AAAACAAACAAGCAGTAGTGTCAGTTGCATAACTTATTATCACTAACCATTCAACTTCAAAGTAACAGAATTGCAAAGGAGTACTTTAACAAGCTAAACGTAACATTTAAATTTAAGCATCTACATATTTACAGCCTGCATCTCCCTTTTGCTCATCGCACAGAAAAATTTAGTTGCAAAGGTATACAGTGCACTACCAAAGGTAACTCCATCAATAAAGTGCAATTCTTCCATTACCTCTTCAATGCTACAACCTTTTTTATCTCTACAAAGAGCTGTGATCCCTCTAGGCATGGAGACAGTCTCAACAATTTTATCCAGACGTGCAACTAGTACTGCTCCCATTCTAGTTCCCCTTTTCTTTTTTCGCAATTGAGGAGTAGTCTGATATGCACTCTTTCTCTTTGAACTGCTGAGGTTGCTGCTACTGTTTGCGACATTGCTTCCACCAACCATGTTGCTAATATCCCGACTGAAATCAGGGATTGCATCCTCTTCAGAGTCACCACTTTCTTCTTTCATGTTAGTATCCTCATTAGTTGTATTTCTCATTCCAGTTGCCATATTATCTTTATCTGATAAAAGTCCTTGTGAGGGAGTCCAAACATATTCTCTCATGGCCACTATGTTAGTAAACATGATATCGTACTTGGCACACAACAAAGGCTCTGTACCGACATGCTTAAACTTCTTTGCTCCTCTCATTTCCTGTGCAATGACAGCTGGATGTAATTAGGAATGCTAATAGATGAATAAATAATACAACATGAAAAAAAAATTATAAGGCTATTGCAAATTAGCAGCTTAACCTGAATTTTTGATTGCCACCATTCATCAGTTACTGAGATTGTCCCAAGTTCAAAAGACCAACCAACTCCAGTTTCAATTATTAATTTTTTCCATACCCTCCAGTCCTTTTTAATCCCATCCTATTTGTTTTTAAGCTGAGATTTTGATAATGACATGCTTGTCTAATCTTTAAAAGACTGTACGATAAATTTCCAGCTAGCTTTGTTAAAATATGTGTTTGGTCTTATGCCTCTCTCAATAGCTGTAATGCAAATGTCGCAAAACGTGTGCAACATTGCCATGCTCCAAGAAGCTTTATCATGTGTGTCAGACCCATCCATCGCTTATGGTTGACAATGCAATAAAGAATTAAACAACACAATTAACTAATGAATAAGAGATTGAATGCTGATAAAACCATAATACAATAGTAACAGAACAGTAAATTACTTGTGCAGCAAAAAGTAAACCAAAGAATAATAAAAGGTTGAATGTTGACAATGAATGAAAATATAAATAAAGAAATTATCTATAGCAGCTTGGTTGACAATGTAAGAAAGAATTCAAAGCACAATTCACTATAGCTGACAACAGCTTTAATGCTGATAAGGGATGCAAAAAAGAAACTAAAGAACTAATTCAAAAAAAGATTGAATGATATGAAGTGTGAACTAAGAAACTTGACAGGATAAAAAACATAAAAACCAACCCACGGTGGAATAAATCTAAAACTGTTTTTTATTAATTAGCAGGGGATGTTTTAATTACCAACTGAAATTATTTGTTTAATTTATTATTATTTAGAAATCAGTAGCACATAATACCAGTTTAACATAGCAAGTAGGGGATGTTCTGTATGTGTGTTTGTGTGAGTGTATGTGTGTGTGTGTGTGTATTAATTTAATATATTTTTATCTTTTTAGCAATCTGTAGAATGACACAACTAATATGATTTTAACATAAAAATGCATTCTTAATTTACATTTATTTGGTAACAATAAGCATCACACAACAACAACAAATAATCAACACAGAAATAACTACAGATACATGGAGGGAATAAAGATAATGAAAAATTAGCAGTAATGGTTGACGAAAGTAAAATACAAGTGAATTAAAAAGGGCATAAACAAGTTAATTTCATTGCAATGAACAAAAATAAAATTAAAATTACTAAGGAGACCGGTGACATAGTATCCGTTGGAAATTACAGTTGAGGTGTTTGAATGGAGCACGATGTTGATATTTGTGGTGGGGTTGTTGCTTGCAGGAAAACAAGTTGCTCGTCGTCTTTTTTTTCTTTTAATAAGGAGAAATGAAGGAAAAATTAGCATATAAACAAATGATTAAACAAAAAAGGATAAATAGATCTTCACTGGAATAAACAACAAGTAACTTAAAATTTCTATAAGAACAGACAAGTGAACTAACTCTTTAGAAACTTGAGCTCTGGTGCTTGAATCATGCTCGATCTATATATATGTTTCGGGGTTGTTGTAAAGGGTTGTTGTTGTTCTTCATTTCCTTTTGTTAAAGAGAAATGAATGACAATTGAAGGTGCAGAAATAGAAGGAGTCATCAGTTAATGTTTTAGGTTCTGCAGCAGTAATGGTTACTATGGAGTTGTTGTGTGCAATTAGGGCTGATAGGAAGGGAAATCAATGCAAATGGAAGAACAAGAATGAGAATGAGAAGAGAAATGAGAACCGAACAAGAACACTGTTCTTGTTTTGGTAATTCCACTTTACTCATCTCTAGAAAGTTCAAACCACATGTTGAAACTTGAAAAAAAAACAATATTTTATTGCTTCCAAAAAATTATGGTCCTGTCGCATTTCAATGGTGGGACCTATGTATTTTATTTTTTAATACTCTATAACCAAACGTCTAATTAGTGTGTTTTTTAAAAAATATGAATGCAAACACGTAGCCAAACGGGTTCATAGTGTGTTCTGGTCAACCGTGAAAAACTAAGCCCTATTAGGGTTTATATATATATATATATATATTAAATTTATGGGCTTGGACTGGGTCATAGATGTTGTCCTTTTTATTCTACCTTTCATCGAAGCCTAGGTGTTGAATTGGTTCTCGGTAGGTAAAAAGCTCCATCATTGGGTTTGAATAGGCTTAGGTTTTTTAATCGGGAACTTAAATGGTGTTTGTTTATGTGGCTACGGCTGCGTTTTAATTAAAACGCAGTTTGCAGCTGTTTGGTAAAGAAAAAAAATTGATTTACTATGCATGGGTCCCATACAATTTTTACGGTTGAAACGCAGTTAATAAAAAGCAAAGAAATACTGGTTTTCATTCATTGTTTACGTTAATTGCACTGTTTACGTTAATTGCACTGTTCAATGAATTAAATATATTTGCACTGTGATGTGAACAATATTTTTTTTTCTAAAAAAACTAATATATAGTGAATTAAATTCACTTATACTGTAATATTAATTTTATACCTGATAATATTTTATCTAATTTTATTACACGCTTAAAAAATTATAAAAACTGTAATTCTTATCGAATAAATTTTGTACGTAATGGAATTATAAATAGTTTAATAAAATAAAAAAAAATTATATAAAGTATTTTTTATTTCATAATATAAAAGGAGTAATTAATTTTATAATAGTTAAATTTAAAATCATCAATATTAATATATATATTTTTAAAAATTATTGTATAACTTCAATTTCAAAATTATTTTTAACCAAATACATTAAAATACTTTTTCTTCAATTTTAATTTCAACCACAGTTTTAACCAAACACCTCTTTTTTCAAACCAACCTTAACTAAAAATATTTTTTATAAAATAATTTTTTTCAAATCATAACCATCTATCGCAATACCAAACATACTTTTATTGAGCTCAATGTTATTTGTCAGAACGTTGTTTGAGTTGCTAGATAAGGGAAAATGATTGAGTAGGGACGATGGTTGCTAGATGAGTGCGTAATGGGGATAGATGAGATCATATGCAAATACAAGATGATAATTAATTTTTGTTAACCTTGTCCACCACTCATCATTTCCTTTTTTTGAGGTGTTGGGATTACTTGTTTTTTAAAATATTTTTTTATTTAAAAATATATTAAAAAAATATTTTTTAAAAAAAATATTTCTAATATTAGCCTATCAAAATAATTTAAAAACATAAAAAATATATTAATTTAAAGTAAAAAAATAAAAAAAAAATTAATTTTTTACACAAAAACAAACTCATAAGAATAGATAACATATGGAACATAAAATCTTCCAAGTATATCAAGTTTTGACTATTCAACGAAGTAAATTTAATTTGTAATATATATATATATCTATATATAATATATATATATATATTTCTCATTTTGCATGGAAAAATTAAATGGAACAATAATATTAATATTCTTGCTCTCGATAAATTATTTGTCACCCGGTCATCTCAATTGTAGTCCGTGCACAGTTCTATCAATGAGTAAAAGAGCATGGCTTATTGGAAAAATTGCCGGTTGATGCTACACATGCGGTTGATTCCTTACAATCGATCACCGAGTAAATTATATATTAGTTATTGCAGTTTTGGGTCTGAACATGCCGTTTCTTTCCTCAATTATTTCAAACTAGGACATTACATGAAGATCCCTAAAAGATCGATGTTCTTAGTTGAGGTACATTTTCTTCGGAACTACTGACCAGGTAACAAACGAATTAAATCCATCCATCTTGTGTAATTGTAGTAATAGTTCGCGCGATGCATTCAAAAGGATCAACCATTCAAGAATTTCCTCTAAACAGCGATCTTGAACTGACAAAGCCAATTATAATGAACAACCTAAAGTGATCAACACTCTTTGTGGTTAGTTTTACACATTGTTTAATTGTTTCCACTTGCAGCTACTGATATATCTATTCGCATGTTGCATTTCAATCTGGGTATGCTTCATTCACAGGAACGATTCTTGCTGGAACCATCAACCTTGCAGTGGCCGTTGAAATCCATTGAGAAACTATGCCAGGATGATCTACTCCCCGCTAAGAGTCCTTAGACATGCCCGGGTGACCCGAGTCTTCTTCAATACTTCTGTCATATGGGGTTCGGAGGGACCTAAGCAGATCTTTGGAACACTTGGAAATTATCAGGCCATTAACTGGTTTTTCCTTGGAGGTGCAGTAGGACCAGTTATAGTTTGGCTGTTGCACAAATCATTCCCCAAGCAATCTTGGACTCCCCTAATTAACCTTCCAGTCCTTCTAGGGTCAACTGCAATGATGCCGCTGGCTACACCATTAACGCACAATGCCTGGATCATGGTTGGAACAATTTTCAATTTCTTCATCTTCCGTTACAGATGCAGTGGTGGCAGTGGCACAATTATGTTCTTTCAGCAGCATTGGATGCTGGGGTGACTTTCATGGTAATGCTTGTTTACTTCTCAGTTGGCATAGAAAACAAAAGTTCTACTTGGTGGGGTGCAAATGGTGAACACTGAACTGGCATCTTGTCAAACAGCCAAGGGCATAATAGTTGCTGGTTGTCCAGTAAACTAGCTTTGTTGCTCTTCTGATGCAAGTTTCTGTTTAAAAAGTTACAAGGGATAGAATTAGCAGGTATTCAACAACATCCACCAAGCCATAGTGGCAAGGTCTCGTGTATTATAGTTTAGTTAGAAAGCCGGCTTCATGAGTGCATTGTTTTTAACTAGAAATATATTAATGCAATTCTAGAAATATCCAAATAAAATTCTAGCCCAAGGAAATGAATCATTTCTGAATACCTTCAGACAAAACCATCTCACTTCACATTGAGTCACTTGGATTTTGGCCAGGATGCCTTTTTGGCACACTATACTAGACTGGTAGAACGAATGACAACAAAATATTGTTAATGCCGGTGCATGGAAAGGTGCATTATACCTGGCAGATGTTTCCTATCATAGTGGAAGTCATACACAGCATTGACACTAAAATACACTCATGCCCTTGAACCTGGTATGTGATTACATGCCACTCCATATTTTTATCAACATCATGGCACCCTATAATCAAGGACTATTTAGCTTGATTTGACTAAATCTATAGCGACACATAAAAAACCAAGCCATTCATAATGATAGACGCACAGAAAAATGCTGAACCACAAATGACTAAGCTATTTCATTGATATAACATGCATATTTGATGTTATGAAATAACTTGCATATGGTATTATTGTCATTGAAATAACATGTATATGGTGTTATCGAGAATAACATAAAATAGATAGAAAGAAAGTGAAAAGGTACATGGAAATGTTGAAGGCATGATATTTTTTGTGATTTAGCAAACTTCAATTGACATAATGATCAAAAAGTCCTAATTATAAATCATACCGAGTGAATGTGATCACAATGCATTAACTGAAAGCCACTGATTGTACTCATCCATCCTTATTATAAAGGAACTGGAACTTGGTGAGCCACCTCCTCCATATGCCTTCATGTTAAGAAAGCCAAAGAAAAATCACTTTGAATGTTCTCCCAAAACAGTCATTACAGGAAGTCAGAAGATATTCACTAGTCAAAATGCACAACCTTTGCAACTTCAGAGGTATCGGTAGCACTATCAATGCTCCTCAGGCACATCTTAAGATCATTTCGTAGCATGTACACAACAACTCCTATGGGCCTGAAATCATTAAGGCATACAGCATAAGATGATGCACGGTTTTATTATAATTAGCTACAACCTTGTGAACAAATAAAAAAAGCTTTTCCCATGGTAACTTGGCCAACATATGGAATTCTTATCACTCACTTAATGTCATGATGATATATTGCATCACCGAGTTGTTCTCCTAGTCACAACATTATCAAGAAAAAGCCAGTTAAATAACATCATTTTACTTCTATCCATGCCAATTTTTAATGCAAGAAATTCACTTAATGCACATCTGATAATATGCCAAAGAAAATCTGCAGTGTTTATACAGTAATCCTTTTTGAAAAACTTGTTGTGCTTAAATAACTCAAAGTTGAGCTTATTGTGTTGAGTTCCAAGAGCTACATTAAGAAAATTACGCTGACACAAGTTAACACATTTCACCCCCAATCCACCAATCATTCTCAAACTAGGGCCCAATACTATGATGTCCATCAATTGTGAAAGTTTCACCAACTCTTCAAAATAGACCTTCTTCTAACTTTGTTCACTTCAAACTAAAGGACAGATTTCAAGGTCAACAGCTGGTGACCAGCTATTCATCAATGCCACTTCTATCCAGTCCAAAGTTTTTGACAGCACATGATTGACAAACTAAAATTCATATTGTTCAAGAAATCCATAACATCACATAGAAACTTTTAAGGAATTCTGAAGGAAATTACTTTCAACACTTGAGTCCATGACAACATGAGATACCAACAAAAACAACGGAAATCAGGGCCGTGGAATATGAAATTCATTAACTTCGAAACTACAGTATGCCAAAGAGAAGGCAACTAAGATGGTCACAATATTGGGCAGAAGAGACCTCTTGCACTGCAAACCATACTCCCCAAGCCCACCCCTTACCCAGGAAAAGACATGAGGGCCCCAATCAGCTACATAAGCAAAAAATACTCCGAATGTTAAGTCAGGTTCATGTTTAATATTTTAACTACCATAGTAGAAAATTAGAAATACTACTCTATATCTAGAAGACAGTGCCAGAGTAGAAGAGAATGTCCACATAAAAACTACAGAAAAATTACCTAAGACCAGCTGCAGCACTTTTTACACTAAGTTCCTTGCCGATTTCATCACTTAAATGAGAATTGCCATCTGCTCTAACTCCCTATAATAACAGAACAGAAGCTGATAAGGCCAAAAAAACTACTGAGATGAGAAACTATAGCCTTTACATTTCATGTCAGTCAAATCATCCGTGGAACCCCAAATCCTATAAGATGAAGTAGAAAAACTACAACACAAAATGATTTATTTGAAAAATGATGAATTCTGATTACCAGGCACTCTCCATAAACTCCTCGACCCAATCGAACTTTAAAAACCTTATCCATCAACTTACTAGCAGCAGTCCATCGCGATGAAATATATGAATTTCCTTTCTCAATTATATCAACAGGACTTATCTCCAGCAGCTACTACAAATGCAAGTTAAATAAAATTTGGCAGTTATCATCATTTAAAGGAAGTATGAATGTCAGGTAAGAACAAAGACAAGAAAAAGGCCATTTTAGTAATTCAAAACATCTTCTAACAATCTTCAAGCTTTAAACCAATGGCAATGAAATAAATTATCTCAATAATTACAACACGGATTCGAAACACCAAAACAGCAATTCACGACAAAAAAAATAATCCAAAGCACAAACCTCTTCAAACATGTACGGGTTGGTGACATAATTAAACTTGGAGCGCCATTCACCAATTCCAACATTAAAAGCTCTAATATCCGTTAAACTCCGCCGTCGAAGGTCCATATCTTCAATGTACTCGAGAACCATTTCAACACGATCTTGATCTTCCGCTTTCAATAATCCCTCAACTCCCCCCTTATTTTAGTCAAAGAAAACCAAAATCCCGATCTCAATAATCAAATTACCCCTAAAATTATATTAAATTGATAATAACTGAAATCACAGCTACGACCTACTGCTACTACTTACATTGTTATCTAGAATCTTCTTCGAGAAGTACTCGTAGACAGAAGTGGAGCTACTCTTCTCAACGTCAACAGAAAAACTAACTTTCTCCCCACAATCCTCTTTCGATTGCACCCTTGAAAGCACCGATTTTCGATGATCAAAACAAATTACCCTGCCAGGAAAAAAAACAGACCTAAAACAAACCAATTCACATTCTCGATAAAAAGAGAAAAAATCAATGTGCTATTTTAGCTTACTGGCAATTTGATTGGCGGGAAAGAGTTGAAGCAAATCCACGTGGACCGATAAAATCAAGAAGGTAACATCTCTCAAGCCCTTCAATTCTGAAATCTTCAACCCTGAAGGGTTCGACGGATGAGAAAGGCAAGATGAGGCAAGGGAGATTGAGACGAGAGTGAAAAAGGTGAGCAAATAAAGCGGAGAAAGCACCGGAAAAAGAGGGGTAGTTATAGAGCACAGCGATTGGGGTTTTTTCTTCATTTGCTTTTGATATGGCTTCTAGAGCCGCATCTGAACGGAATTCTCGAGCTGCGGATGGTGAAAGAGGAGGTAAGCGTGAAGAGGAGAAGATAAATCTCCATGTTTTCCGGAGTAAGAGAGCCATAATTTTATTTCAAATATTGGAAGAAGGAGAACTGGATTGCTGCCGCAGGATTGTTAGTTGTTGCTGTGCCTGTTGTCCGTTGAATCGGCGTTATGACCGGGGTGCGCTTGGTCCGTGGTGAGGTAGAAAAGTGGCCGTTAGGCCTACTTATTTACAGGGTTAGTTGTTTTTTAAATTATTTTTTATTTATAAATATATTAAAATAATATTTTAAAAATTATTTTTAAGATTAGTATACTAAAATAATTTAATAATATAAAAAATTAATTTCAAATAAAAAAATTTCATTTTTTTAAATATTTTTGAAATATAAAAAATTTTTTATGTTTTTAAAATATTTTGAAATATAAAAATAAATAAGTTTAAAATTTGATTTCAAAATTAATTTCATTTAAAATTCATATCGCCTAATTTTTTTGCTTAAAATTTGATTTTAAAATTAATTTAATTTAATTTAAAATTCATATCGCCTAATTTTTTTGTTTTTTTAAATTTAATATAATATTGTTATGGTAAAAGGTGTCTTTATTGACTTTCCTAGCTACGCTACGGGTAAACAAATCATAAGTTTAATTCTAATTATAGTTTTGGTTTGTCCTTATGATCTGATATCATATATGATTTAATTCTTTATGGGTTTTCAATTACGTATTTTTTCGTTATCTAATTAGAGATATCAGTAAAACACACATAATTATAATTTTGTGTGCTGCAGTATTTGGAAAAAAAATACATGGCATCCATGCTACATATAAATATGTGCTTGAATGTAAAGATTATGTTAGTAAAAATATAAAAAAGTTTACGTGCATTGACATCGTAGGTTCGAGCTCTATGTTCTGCCTCATTAGGACCCAGGAAAAATATGTTGAGATGCATGCAAGAGTTTGGAATTTTTAGATGTTACTATTTGTGGCGAGGACCATGCAACTACAAAGTTGTCAAAGCCGATTTGAAGATTGAACCGGCTAAAAGTAAGTTGAGTTCTGGGTTTTATATATTTAACTTGAATTAACTTGAAAAAATTAAAAAAATATTTAAAATTTTAATATTTCATATAAAAAAATTAAAAAAATAATTTATATGAATATAAGCTATACATGTTATAAATAATGAAGTTTAAAAGATTATTTTAAAAGATTTTTTATTGTACATTGAAAAGATACGACGTTAATATATTATCTTTTTAAATTAAAATATTCAAACAAAAAGAAATTTTATCTCACATTACAAAAACATTTTTTTTTATTGTAAACTTAGAGTATATATACTAAAAAAACTTCACATTTCACATTGAAAAAATAATTTTTATCTTGTAAATATAATATATATATATTAAAGGGCTTCAAATCCCACGTTAAAAAAAATAAAATATTTTTCTAGCATTTATACAGTGAACTTTGAAAATAGTTAATAATCAACTAAAAAATATATATAAAAAAATAGTTTATAGTTATAAGAAAAAACATATTTGTAAAAAATAAACAAATCGAGTCTCAACTGGGTTTTACCAGGTCACTCAAGTCACATGTCAACCTAACAAGTCAATTAATTTTTACCTGATTTTTATTTATTTTAGTCTTTTACCTTATTTAGAGCAATCCAAATATTAAATTAACTAAGTCCTAAGTTGATCAATAAATCCAGTCTAAATTTAATAATCATGTTCTTTGGGCTTGTAACCCAAACAAGCCGGATATTATTATTATTATTATTATTATTTTGAAACCATATACCACTTGGTTGGTACAAGAAAATTACAATTGTATGTTAGTATCCAGAAAAGAACTTGAAGTTGCTAATATTCCTGCT